TTTTCCCGCTTTTCGTTTTTCCATCTTAGTGAAGCCGTTCACCTTTTTGTTCAAGAAGAACATCTCTTAAATTTTATGGAAAGTTGTCAAAATCACAACGTGAAGCTTGAAATGTTTTTAGCATTTTTTTGACAATTTGTTTAATGCTTAAGTGTTTGTTACTGCTATAACCTGGCAATCCGTTCTTTTCTATGGGCATCATCATAGTTGTAAAGAATTGTGGATCAGTTATATAACTCTGCAACAAAAATGCAGCTTTGCCTCTGAGCGCATTCTAAGCTTTAATATAAAGTATTTGAAGCAACTTTCATCTCATGGTAGTGACTTAATAAATTGCCTCGTCAATCTGAATCAAGAGGAAGAGCCTCAATTCAATGGAAGACATTCCTTTTAACAACGTTAAGTTGTCAAGAACACCTTTTGGTCTAGTGAATTGTTCGGTCCTTACTATCCCATAAATAAACAAAGAAGAAAATTTTGTAAACCCAAAGAGTTTTCAAACCAATATGTAGAAAATTTTTAAATCATTGCGTAACCGTGCTCTTTATATTTTAGTTTTCAAGTTCTTGTAGGTTTTCTCGTTGTATACGTAATGACCGACCCGAATGGAAGCATATCAACCGTCATCGTAAAGCAAAACTACTTTTGAGGAATATATGAAAATACGCCTCGTTCTCATAAGAATGATATCATACAATAATCATTTCATCCTCTTAGGCAAAGTACGATGTGAACTGTTTCCCACGTTAGGCGGAAGACACTCCTGGCGAAAGAAAGTTCACGTTTTTTAGCCTTGATCCAAGCAAGGTTTGATTTTTTTAGTTTAATTGAAAAAATAGTGCAGGTGAAGCTAATAAGTCATGCATAGCAAGGTTTCGAAGCTTCGAAATGGCTGCGTTTGAAAGCGAGGAATTGGAGGCTTTACGGAATCAAGAACTGTGCCAACCAGGCGAAAGCATTGATTCGAAACGTTGTCGACTATAATGCGTTTGGGCCGTGTATTGCTTGAAAAAACGTTCAAAAACGACCAAAAGGCATGAGAAGGTAATTTTTTTTAAGTAATAAAACTAGGCCACACGTGACTGTAACGGTCAAAACCTATATATCACACCTGCAATATTCTCCAAACCTAGTTCCTTCCGACTACAGGTTATTTTTCGACGGATACAAAACCGGTAACCGGTTTGTATCATTTCAATAAATCGAAAAATGGCTCAATGATTTGATAGAACATGGAAAGGGCTGATTTTTTAGAGATGGTATTTGAAAATTACAAGAGAAGAAGAAGAAATTGCAAGGGAAAAAACCAGGCGCTTTCGCCGGACAATACTTTGAATTATGCATTTGTTAATATTTTTCACCAGGAAATCCTTTTTTAACACAAATAAAAACAGTCCGAATTCATTTGTACTCCAAACTAAATTAATTCAAAATATAAACACTCTTTTTTGAATATAATGAATTTATACATCTCATAAAACAAATGAATTTAAAGTTATTTTTTAATAAAGAAGAAGCTAAACAAAGCCCAGTACAAAGAGAGCTGGAAGAACTGCATTACGCCCACAAAAGTACTGCTCCATACAAATAAATTATGGAATGAATAAATTTTACACAAAAATAAGAAAGAAATGAAAACAACAACAACAACAACAAATCAACTAGACAGAAATATTTATGTATAAAAATGTATACAAAGAAATGAATTCATTGTGATTACGATAACATTTCAACGTACAATGAGCAATGAACAATCGATAAAAGTTGAACTAAATAAATTACGAGACAAGACGAGAAATAAGGTAAACAGAACAAAATAGAATAAAGACACCAGGGAGATAGATACAAATTTATATTGAAAGAAACATATAGACTATATATAAATCTAGGTACATGTGTACATTAGACACCGCCAACAATCAAGTTTTTTTTTTCTAAAGTATTAAAAGTAGATATCGCATTGAAGCGCTGGCTACCAAGATAAGAACTGATAACTGTTGGTACCGTAAAGTAGCCAATGAATTGTAAATGCGAACGAGTGAATTACACATGCGGGAGTTTCTTCAGTTTCTAGGAAAAGCAGTAACTAAACAGTAAATATATATTAACTGGTGTTTAGCTGACGAACACCGGCCAAGACCACAATCAGCGTCCTTAGAGTCATAGGCAATAAAAAGAAGCTTTAAGCGCTTTCATACCAACTTTAAACGATACATTTATATTTATGTAGATATATTTATTTGTTTATTTCCTGTTCACTTTAACGAGCCAATCGAATGACTGATAATATGTGAACATGAAACTGAAGGCAATTTTATTTCATGGTATAACAATTATACAATCGGTCATTTGATATTTACTTTTCAGTTTTATGTACAAACATTTGCCTAACTGTATCAACATGTCGTTTTGTTTAATTAGAATTCGTAGGCAATTGCTGGCCTTGTAGAGGTTAAAATAATTTACAATAGTACGGATATTTTGCGCGTTAAACAAAATATGTTATTCTGTTTATAGAACTTTTGGTGAGTAATTTTATTTTATTTTAAATATTACTATTATTTTTATTTTAAATTAATTAAGAGTTAGTGTGGCAATTTAAAAAATATACTATAATTAAAAGACGTTCATTACTGTAAATATTTATTTTCACGATATTGGCTGCTATATATATTTCACTTGAGCGGGAACAAGGCGTGACTGAGAGTCAAACAGTTTGAGTGCCTCTTGTCTTCGAGCTTTAAAATTACGACTTTCGAAATGTCATGACAAAATCTGCTGCTAGATCTGTAAAATTTAATCAAGGTCCAGATTGTAAGCTGCACACGATTTTGTAATTGGGCTTCCAAAATCGTGAATCAAATTTTAAAATCTTATTACCATGAAGATATTTTAAAGTTGTAGAAGAAATAATTAGAAAATTAGTGGTAGAAACGCTTCTAGCCAGTTATGGCTTCGTCCTCTAGTGAATGTTCGGTCCGCAACTCTGTCGTATCCATTTTGAAGAATCGTATTTCGACTCCTCCATCGAGTCATTTTAAATGTATATATTATATTTTGTACACAATCCTTATCAGCTGGATGAATGCAATACACTACTGTGTACAGTATAATCACGTGACCAAATGAAAATACGTTCGTTCACTCACAGTCAAAGATCAATCGCAGGTCATATTAGAGCCACAAGAAAATTCCACTTTCCGACTAATTCTTTCATATTCCCAGACCTTAGTGTCCCCACGAACAGGCACCAATTCCACAATTTTAGGAAAGAGGCCCGGGCTGGAATAGAAATAAAGACTAAGAAACTTAATTATTTTCCAGCATAATTAAGGAATCAAGGATATTTATTTTGTTAAAACTGGTTTTAATTGTGCAGTATTTTTGGTGGCTTCTTCATTCTTTTTTTAACAAAGTTTATGGGACTTGCCCAAAGGCATTAAAGTTTCAATGAAATTTATATAGTCTTGCTAACAGTGAAAATTTGTAGGTGATCAAAATTTTTATATTCGTTCCATCCTAACTCAAAACCAAGAAAGAAATCCACATAATTTTTTGGGAATCACCCCTAATGTATATACTACACTGCGGAGAAAATTGATATCTAGAGTAAAATTATATCATAAATTTTCTGTACTCAAAAGGTGATGTATCGCTTACAGCAAAGTCAAACGAAAATGGTCGCGGTCGAAAGACGGTGAGCCGGAACAAACGATTTTCAAGCCAGAATTGACGGAAACAAAAGTTGTGTTGTGTGTTTAGTGAGATTACCAAGGGATCATCCACTAGGAGCCAAAATAATAATAATTGCCAGCAAATGTACTGTCTGAAGCGCCCAGCCTGGAGCACAATTGGTTTTCATAAAGAATAACGCCATACTACATACAACGATAGAGACTCGCTAGAAGCTCCGAGAGCTTGGTTTGGAGGTTATTATATATTTGGCTCATAGTCCGTATTCCGCAGAAAGTGATTACCATCTGTTTCTGTTTATGTCAAATGATTTTGCTGATGAAGAATTGATCCTAACGAAAGGCTGTGAAAATCGATTTCCTAATTTTTTTTTTGTAAACACGGAGAGTGGTTTCTATTGTATGAGAAAGGTATAATGACATTACCTTCAAATGACAAAAGGTTATCAAGTAAAATGGTGCATATTTGACATAAATCGTATAATTCTAACTATGGTAAATAAAACCTTTAATTTAATGCAGAAATAATAGATTACCTTTTATGAGACCTAATACACATATAGTATGTGTATATGTATATTTGTAGTCAATATTTTCACAAGCAAATAAATCGAGTACAAAGGATATAAACACAACATGATGCTCTTTCCTCATCATTTGCTCGTGTAATAGACTTTCAGAAAGGAGATACGAATATTTCAAAAAAAAAAAAAATTTTAATTGACGGAGTCTTATCAAAGGCGATTTAATTTCCAATTAAATGGTGCATATAATCAGAAAGAGAGAAGTGTCAACGAACAGCGCATAAAAATGAATATAGAACGAGTGTGTAACCGTTAAATCAACAACCACGGATACGAACTAAATACTGAAAAAAGGTATTAATAGGAAAAATACAATGGATATAAATATAAAAACAAAAGTATTGTACAATAATTTTGAAAAAAAAAGCAAGCACGCAGTTTTTCACCAGAAAAACTATCATTTGGCCTGTATAAAAATTGCAAATTGCACGTGTGACTGCAACTAAAGGCTCTTATAGCTTATACATAGCCGCGCACGGCGAGCGCTCCCAATGCAACAATGTGCATACAGCGGCGGCCTACAGATCCGTGGGCGTTTTACTGCATATTCAGCTTACCTTGACCGTGTTCTTTGACCTTTCGCGCGTACGTGAAAAACTTTTCTCTCCTACTGGCAGTCAGTCAGTCAGTCAGAAAGGCAGCCAACCAGCCAGCCAGTCAGCTTAGACTATTATGTCATTCATTGATTATTATTGTTGCTTATTTTCATGTTGTAAACAAATAAAGCCACGAAAAATACGCTAGCGGATGAGTAAATACGTATGTAAGCACAAACAAATATAATTTAATACACACCAACAACAAATGCTTAAATGAAAATGTGTGTGCCTTACACGCCGCTCGTCGCTTGCTGCTATTCATTCGATTCAAATGTCGGCGTATGCTGGAGATATAAAACAGTGCTGCTGTAAGTAGTGAGCATAGATGGTGTGTGTGTTTGTGTGTGTGCATTGCCATTAAATTTAAATATTCTCACCTTCTTAAGTTTTTCCTTTCGATTTTCATTGGCCATGCAACATCATCGCTGTTCATGCGGCGCTGGACCGAGCGTTGCTACTTGCGGGTAGCCAGAGGATATATGTATAGGTACATAGATAGTTACATATACTTTATATTGTGATTGCCTGTTGGCTGGTGAATATGGCGGCAGCGATTTATGTAAACATTTCTAAATTTGTTTTAGCAAACGGCAAACCAAAATAATAGTCAGTCATACTCGTGGTAAAAAGAACTATTTGAAGATGTACTCATACTCAGGTATACACGAATGCATATGTATTGTACTTACACGTACATACAACAACTTATATAATAATGGATATCGATGCGCGTCATGCCGGCACTTGCAAGGCTATTATGATTTGTTTGTTTGTTTTATTTTTCCTTTCTTTCTTTTATTCGAAATGCTTACGTGGAATTTGTACTTGTATCCGGGTGAAGGAAAACAATAGGATTCCAATGTGTGGTGTATTTAATAGCGACAGCGAGACAATGTGCCGGATGCTCCTTTATGCAGCACGATTTCATATGCAAATACGTCAAATGGCGTTGGTCAACTCAAATCAAAAGCAAATGAAAGTCTCATTTTTTTATTAATAATTAACAAAATCGTCCTTAGCTCAACTTCAAAATATTGAAATACCTTGTATTGATTAATTTGTCATATTTTATTAGCTATTTATATATGGTTCTCAGGAAATCAAAACTAAACTAAAAACGATGTGAAAAGTTTGGAAACAAATTTCCGAGCCAAAATTTTTGTTGCCAATGAAAGTTTGTATGCGTAAACACATAAATGTAGAACTCAAAAAATCTCGCTAAGAAAAGTATTTCACCGACCAAATAAAAGAAATGGTTTCAAAAACAAACTTTGAACTCAAAGATATAAAAAATTAGTTTGAATGAAGTACGGTGGAACATATGCACGAAAATATAGAAAAAATATACATTGAAACCGCGTAAAAATATCACGGGCATAAGGTTAATCGCAAAAAATTAATTTAGTTAAATCAATTTAAACTTAATAAAATAAAAACCAAAAAATTTAAAATGAAATTAAAAAAAATTAGATTCAAAAATATTGCATATAAAATAAGGTAATATTAAATAACATAAAGCGAAGTAAAACAAAATTAAAGAAAATATCAGGTGTACAACTTTGCTTCCGCCGTTTTTTTTCCAAAACTAAAAGCTTTATTGCGAAAAAGTGCCTACAGATATATTATTCGAAGTATTGTCCTTCGCTAGCGACAACTTTCTCCCATCTTTCCGGCAATTTTCGGATCGCGGCTCGAAAAAAGGAGTCCTCTTTTGACGCTATCCATGAAACAATCCATTTTTCTTCGAAAGATTGAAAATGTTGATCTGCCAGGCCGTGTGCCATCGAACGGAATAGGTGGAAGTCAGAGGGGGGGCCACATCTGGGGAATACGGCGGGTAGGGCAAGACTTCCCATTTCAGCGTTTCCAGGTACTTTTTGACCACTTTTGCGACGTGAGGCCGAGCATTGTCGTGTTGGAGGATGACTTCGTCATGTCGCTCTTTATATTATGGCTGCTTTTCTTTTAGCGCGCGACTAAGGCGCATCAGTTGCGTTCGGTAGCGATCTCCTGTGATAGTTTCACTCGGTTTTAAGAGCTCGTAGTAAATCACACCGAGCTGATCCCACCAAATTTCTCTTCCACCACCATGTTTGTCTTCACCGAAATCACAATTTTTAAAACGTTGAAACCACTCCCGACACGTTCTTTCACTCAGAGCAGCATCACCGTAAGTTTCTGAGAGCATTCGTTGCGCTTCAGCTGCATTTTTTTTTCGAATTGTAACAGAAACGTAAAACTTCCCGCAAATGGCGAGAATTAGGCGCATAAACGGACATTTTCGAGCTGAAAGGGCGATGACAATTCGTTAGGCACTCTCCACACTCACTTTTAAGGCATTATCATCTATGTATTTCAACCAGCCTCAGCCGGTACAGCCACCTATCGGAAAACGGCGGAAGCAAAGTTATAATTTTGCTTCCGATTAGATAGTCGAGGTTTTCACATTTTAATTGTTGTTGGGACAATAAAAAACATTTAATTTAAATAAAAAATATATACTGAAATATTTTAATTATAGAGTTAGTACATAATTATGGCAGCTGCTGAGCAGAAACCAGAATTCCCTACTACGACAAAAAATTTTGAATTTATTATAGATAACAAATCAAAAATTCTTAAGTAGGGGCTACGGAAGAAACTGTCGTTAGTCTAAACGAATATATGATATTTAACCAATAATGAACACTTGACATTATACCACAATGGGTAGGGGCAAATTAGTTTCGGAATAAAATTTTAAGGAAAAATAATTAAGGATTTATTTATTAAAAAAAAATAATCAAACAATTAAAAAAAAAATAGTTGAAAAAAATAAATTAATTTTAATAAATGTTGTAATAACATTATTTATTAATTTATTTATTGCCGGCAGCAGTAGGTATAATACAAAAGAAAAATTTAAGAAAAATTTTTAAAGAAAAAAATGCAAACAAAAATTATAATTTTAGAAGCAATTAATGAAAATATTTGAAAATTTTCAATATTACAAATTTTATTATAATTTATTATCTTATTGATTGTAGCAGCTGATATATTAGAAACATAATTTTCCCAAGTATCAAATTATGTAATATAAATATTTTTTTTTAATTTCCTGTAGTATTTATTTATCTTCAATTCAATTTATTCTATTACTTTATTACATTTTCTTCAATTCCAAATACCTTACTAAGTGTCTTCGACTCACATGAAAACACTAAAATACCTTTTTTTCATTTGAATACCCATTTTTTGTATGTATGTCATTTTCATTGACTTCCAAGCAATAACGAGATCATTTACAAAACCACAATCATATTAATTCATGGCTATTATACATACATATGTATGTACATTCGAGAATTTGTTCTCAGGCTCAAGCGAATACTACAGTTTTTGCTGCTCTAATTTAAATAAATGATTTATGTATTAATTTAAGACCAATGTAACTGGGTCGTTGTCAAAACACACACCACGGGAGATATACATATACACATACATGCACATATGCATACGTACTCGTATACATATATATAGGCATAAATATGGAGTCACCAATTAAATGAATAAACAAAACAAATTTGTAGTTATGTGAAAACAGAAATATATATACATTTATACATATAAATATGTTGATGCGAAGCGTAAATGGCAAACATTCAACGCATGTCAGCAATTTACGGCGCGAATTTTTCATTTTTATAAAAAAAAAAAGATATAAATAAAAAATTAGCAATAAATATTTCATTTCCATTTAGCGCCAACGCGCATGCCCTGCTGCCGACTACTGTCTTCAGCATAGCTTGAATGTTTCTACCACCGCATGGTGGAGAGAAAATGCTACGTTTTGCACGCGCGCCAAGCTGACTACACGTCATTCATTCAGTCAATAAACTTAGAAGTGTGAATAATTAAAAAACTAAAAGAAAAATTAAGAAAAAGACGAGAGATTAAATGAGTCGCATTTAGTAAATTGGTCGAAAGCCTGAATAATGATGCGATAGTTTTTTTTTTGTTGTTTATATACGATATATATATTTAATTGGCGCTTTATACCCGCTGAAGAGAATTTTCGGCCAAGCTCCTCCTCCAATTTGTGGTTATGCGTCTTGATGTTTTTCCAACAAATGGAGGGACCTACAATTACTAAGCCGCCTCCGAACGGCTAATGGTTTTTTACGAGAAGCCTTTATTTCATGTCAAAAATACTCTCGGAGGGGTTGACATTCTCTGCCGAGGGGCGACCGCAATTAGAAAATTTAACTTAATTTTTTATTTAAATTAATTTTCCATAACTCTTTTGGATGTTGGTGGCACCGGGTTTTGAACCCGAGCCTACCGACTGTCAGTACGCAATACTAATTGTATCTGCTTAATAAACCCCTAACAATAAGTGGTAATATCTTAATAACTAGTGAATTACAGTTTTAGTCCATTAGAAGTAATGGTTGACAGGTAAAACTGTCAGATCTCTCCTTTGAAAACGTGTTAAGTTTGTTGGGCAGGACAAAGCGTTCGCTAGGGGATTCGGATTATTTTGCCGTTTCGAAGGTATTCATTCATCTGATGATGAGTTGGCGTTAGGAGTTTTCGAGAGAAAGGTTTTGTGTAATTCAGCTCATCAAAAAGCACCGACTAGGTCATGTGGTCCACTGTAACCATCGGTGAAAGCATTCTGTTGGAAAGATCAGGTAGAGAAGGACCTGACTGTACCTGGTATTTCCAATTTGCGCCAAACAGCAAAAGACGAAACAAATGGCGAAATGTTGTTAACTCGGCGGTGTCTACGCCAGTAAAGTAAGTAAGAAGTATATAAGTCCTTCTGCCTTACCTCGTTGGCAATGCGATTGCCGAGTTGATAATTTGCTATAGTTTCGAAGTCGAAAAAAAAACTAAGTATGTGCCGAAGGCAGTAAAATAAATAAAAAGAACAAAAAGCAAAAAAAAAAATAAGAAATAAACAAATAAAATAGACCTATTAAAATAAAAGAGAAAACTAATTAAGAGTAAACTTATTTTTCGAGATAATAATACACAGAAAAGTTTGAGTTGGTAATTTTGAAGAACTCGCAATGAGTATTGCTGGCCAATATCTATCAAAAAACATCAAATCATTCGAAATATTGCCACGTCGTCAGTTTTTGAATTGATTTAGCACTAGGATACGTTTGTCATCCACTAACAACATATACATTTTACAACCTTTTTGTATCTGCCACATTTCAGCAATCTCTTTTTCGATATGACATACCTAGCAAATACTATAAATGATGAAACTCATCATTAACTCTAATGCACATGAATGCTAAATTAATAAAAATGCTTATTGAAATCATCATCATCGTCAAAAGCAATAATTATAAGAGAGGAGAAATATATAGCTCAAGTGTGGTATGTGAAGTAGCTAAAATATGTCAGCAACAACAAAAATAATAACTTTCAGCAGCAGCAAATTCATCATAGAAGTATTTAAACGGAAGTCCACAAGCAGCAGCAGCAGCATCAGCGCATCCATAGCTTAGCATAATAACCACAATGATGCTACAGCTACAACTACAACATATACTCTACTGCTGTTAAAGGCATCATCATGCCACATCACGACTTTTGAGCCACTGTCAGTTGTTGCTATTGGTGAAACATAATCCGCAATAACCTCTTTTGCATACCATTTGCGTATAATGACTGAGCATAATTTTAACACATACATATACACATACATACATATGCACATCTAATGTCTTTAAGCACTGACAGCAGGGCGGTTGGCTGTTTGTTGGGCGAGAGATCAGACTGAAAGCACAATTAAGAGTTCAAAAAGTGCTTAAGAAAGAAAAAAAAATATCGGTATGTGCATATACCTAAACAGATAGAAGTTGGAGCACATTGTGAAACAAATAAACAGTTGAGTTGGTAAATTTTGAATATTCCTCAACCTCAATGGAAATTGACTTGCCATATTGTATATATATTATTTTTTTTTTTTAAATTTTCAAAGATTCGAAAAAATGAGTTAAAAAATTTCATATATCAACTTGAGAATCATAAAATTCTCAAATTTTCCCAAAAGTTTAGAAATTAATGAATTTTCCCAAAGGCTAGAATATTTCGATTATTTTTGGAAGCAAAAGCTTTTTTTTTTTGTAAAAGTAAATTTCTGTAAATCAATTCTGTGAAATCATCAATTTCTTGGCAAAAGTTTTTCAGCTTCCAAAGAGAACTAAGCCCTTAACAGAAATTGGCAATTTTGCGCAATATTCTAGTTCAAACGCTCCAGCGAAGATCAGCGAATCACAATAAGAGTAGTCGCTGTGATATCGATCGGATCATGTCATAACATTTTTTTCAATGATCTAGATATGAAATGTGTGACAGAACATTTTGTTAACCTTTTTTTTGGAACAGAAACAGTGGCGAATAGAAGCTAGATAAGAGTCATTAAATGCAGTCTATGACGATGCAAAATTATTGAAACTTAACCAAAAATGGAAGCAATCCGAAAATAACGCCTAGATTTGAAGAAAAATATAAGATGTACAAATAAGTCTCCACCGCTTTGAAAGAGTTGGCATATACGAGGCTTACCCTAGCAATCATGATAACCGGCTTAAAAATTAGGTGGCTTTATTTTTTTTTTTTTTTTTCAATCCAAAAATGCACAACTCTTAGAAAATTAAGCGTTATTTGAGGAAACTTTTAATTTACTTTTGTAATTGAAAAAATCTGCAGCTGAGGCGCATAGATTGCTCGTATCGTGTATTAGATGAGGCCACTAAGTCTGTATATTCGAGTACTGATTACAACGGATGAGATTTAGCCGATTTCTGAAGGCTAAACGACCTGAATATTACGCGCCAGTCATGACAAAAGTACGAAACCAGTGAAAACCCATTTAAAACCAATTGATTGGGAAGTACTATCTCACTCACCGTTTTCACTAGACATTTCGCTATCACTTGTTCCAGTCAGTGGCACATGATCTGCCGGAGCAGTTATGGAGTTATCAAAATTGGATGGACTTCTAGATAGCATTAATATATGAAGAGTTCTTCAAATCTACTCTTAAAAAATAATTGTACATTTTTAGCCCTTCAACTCTTTTTTTTTAGTTTTAGAAAGAGGTAATAATCACTGGGTTAAAGTTCTGGGCTGTAGTGTGGATGGTTCAAAGTATTGATGTCCACCTTCTGCAGAGCAGCCAACTCAACGCGGCTCTTGTTTTTACGAAGGCATAGCGTACTTGGCACTCATCTTATGTTGTATTTACTCATGCCGGGATGGTCTTGAGAATTTCAAAAATACTAACACTCTCTACGAGTCGACTGCTCTTTAGTCCAACAGCATCAAGTATATTTTTTTCAATTTTTTGGACAAGTTACATAGTCATAACGATACCCTTGTCCGTCCTCGGATCGTCTTCTTGGGATTCCCTACCTTGTGTAAGTAAACTGTGCTACTCGTACATCATGATTTTTCTCAACACGTTACGAATTTATGAACCTTATCACTCCTATAAACCTCTCTTAGCGAGCATAAAAACATTTCACAAAACCCTTAGAAAAGCCTTTTTAATGAGAAATTTCATCATTTAACACCATCTAGCGGCACCCGATCAGACTTATACAACGCGAGATACAGATAAATAACGTCATCTAATGGAAAAACATTGGATTTATTTTTACTACACCTAATATGTATGTATATAGATTGGTATACTTTTTTTTTTACAATTTTTCGCAAATATCGGACCACATTTTTCACGTATACGAAACATTTTCGGAGATTCTTTTCAGCGATTCATTTCCTTGATGTTTGCTTAGCAAAAAAAATAGATATAAAAATAAAAATAATGAAAATAAATATTTACTTACCAAGTATAGCTGTAGGTATGTACTCGTAGGTATATGTATATCTATAAAGGAAAAAATATAAATATAAATATATATAATATATTGAAACACTTGAACAACATAAATTTAAAATAAATATATAAGTACTAAATAATGTGAGGGAAAACAGGGAGAAAAGCCGGCAAACAACGTTGATGTGGTTTTGTAGTTAAAAAGAAATTACGAAAGCAAAGAAAAGAAGAGAAGCCAATAATGATGCTTCGTTAGATTAACGTACATACAAATATATATAAATACTTGTACATGATATATATTGAGTTGACATGCCAACAAATGATTAACAAATGCCTTCACATACAAATAGAAAAATGCTATAGTCATTAACGATGTTGATCATGCTGCTGATGATGATGATGATGTGTGCCGATGACGAAAGCAACGTCATCCTTTTCGGGCAACGAGTATTTTTAAGTGGCAGCCACCAAGTACAAATAGACAAAGAGCAAATACTCAAACTCAACAACTTTTGCTCTATGGAACGCATACGTTGGAAAAGCTTGATGAAATGACGATAATCACTCGAAGAACCTGACTAAAGGCACGTACATATATACGTAGGAAGAGCCTCGTAGTTTATGGGTGAAGGCAGAAAGTGCTATAACTGTACTGGGCGGAAATATAGATACATATTTACATACATATTTTGCAAATGAGGACGTTAAGCACAATCAACTTGCACAAAGCGACCGCTTGTCTGCTGTCACACCTGTCTCAAAGGATTCACCGGAGAGCGGATGGAGTAGGAGACGGTAAAAAAAAACTTTGACAGGAAATGTTTTGTTGTAATGAACTTTGTCGTGTACTATCTGTCACACATGTAACTACCATGACGCTACATACGTAAGAAAATTTACAAAATTTACGGTGTTATTTAAAAAGGTGACGCAGCTTGATGTAATTGAGCGCTTGTTGGTGAACTGATCGGAAACAACCATCCATAGTTAAAATAATAAGCGTGTATTTATACAAATACATATGTAGAGAGTGTGAAATGCATTTTGTTTTTAATTTTTCTTTGTTCACACCAAGGATGTACGTGTATCTGTTAGTCACATTGTGGTTAAGGTAAGTGATGACGTCATTCACGACAAACACAATTAAATGGTAATGACAAGATAAATAATCAAAACTTTTAGTCTCGCTACAGACGTAAATATTTCCGAATGCATGACAAAAATTATGTGTAAGTGACACAATGCATAAAATCGAAAGCGTGACAAAAAGGAAACATGAAACGTGTGATGTGCGAGGTTATCACTATAGAGAAATACCGAAGTGCAGAGACGATAATACTCTGGTAAATACTTATATTATATAAGAAGCAGTCAAACCTATGACGTTCAAAATTTCCGATTGGTGTGTTTTTTTCTTCATTTATTTTTCTTTTTATGCTTCCTTTCACCTTATTGCCGTCTGTAACGCGCAGTTTTCGAAAGAAGTCCAAAAATAATGTAAAATCCTAAGTTCAGAGATTATCAAATCTTGCCATCAACAATTCGCAACGCAAGGTAAAAAAAAGAACGTAGACTCAACATTTCGATGCTCTTCTAAATGTTTTCATATAATTTTGACTTTGAACGAACCCACAAAATGCTACCAAACCGATGCAGCCAAGTGTTAGATAAACGATCCCGATAGGACGTAGTTTTCTTTCACAATCTTTTTTTAATTTTCCTACATATTATATTAATTAAAAGAAATGTCTTAAGCAAAAGAGCAAATGATTTTCAAACAATGTATTCTTAATTAGCTTGGCTCTTTTAGCTTGGCTTGGCAAACTATTTCGTGTTTATTCTTTTTTTCACTCTGTTTTCCTTTGTCTTTCCTTCTTTCTCTCTTCATGCCTCTTTCTGTTTATTGATTTGTTTTCTTTTTTTTCTATCTCCTTCTTGTTTCTTTTTTTTTTATTTATTTCTTCTTCAATTTTTTTTCGCTTCTATTTTCTTCTTCTTTTATCTTCTTCCTCCTCTCTCTTTTTTTTCCTCCTTTTGTTATTCCTGTTTTATTCTTTTTTATTCTTCCTTTTCTCTCTATTTTTTTCTTCTTCTTTTTTTCTACTTTATCTTTTTTCCCATTCTTCATTTTATTTTCCTCTTTTCTTTTTTTACTTCCTTCCTTTTTTTTACTTCTTCCTATTTTCTCTTTTTACTTCTTCTTCTTTTCTTATTATCTTCTTAAGCTTTTCATTTTTTCCTTTCCTCTTTTCATTTTATCTTCTTTCTTTTTCTTTTTTTCCTCTTCCCTTTCTCTTTTTCATCTTCCTCTTTCCATTTTTTCCTCTTCCTCTGATCTTTTTTTCTTCTCCCTCTTTTCCTTTTTTTCTCTTTTTTGTTCCCATTTTTCTTCTGATTCTTTTCTTCTTTTCCTTCTCACTCTTTTCTTGTTTTGTTTCTCCTCCTTCTTTTCTTTTTTCTCTTCATTTTTTTTTTTTTTTTTTCCTCTTTCTTTTCTTTTCTTCTTCCTCTTTTTTCTTTTCTCTTCTTCCTCTTTTTTCTTTTTTCTTCTTCCTCCAGTTTAGTTGCTCTTCTTCCTTTATTTCTTTTCCCTTCTTCATTTTTTTCTTTTCTCTTCTTCATTTTTTTCTTTTCTCTTCTTCATTTTTTTCTTTTCTCTTCTTCATTTTTTTATTTTCTCTTCTTCATTTTTTTCTTTTCTCTTCTTCCTGTTTTACTGCCAGGTATATTAATATACATACACGTATGTATATCAAACTGATACACTTTACATATTCAACAACTAAATAATACGCTTGAAATGAAATGCACCACCAACAACGACAAACAAACAATCCCAACGTAATGCCGCCAAAAACTTAACTATGACGTCATTACAGACACAAACACAATCGATTAAATGCATGCTGTGCTATCAGTAAATTTATGTGCATACATGCACCTATACATACATACATATACGATTGTATGACTATGTATATGCGCGTGCGTTCGTTGGCTCTGCGTTTGCGTTTTATATACGAATCATGTCGTGCAAATTTATAATTCACTAATGAAATTAGAATACATATGAATAAATGGCGAAAACAATTTGATTACGTGCTGCATGACACTTTAGCGATTTATGTAACACGAAGTTGCAACGCTGGCGACAGCACGTTTTATGGCAAAAATAAAAATAAAAATAAATAGAAAAAACAAAACCCATAGATTATCACACTTCGATACTTGTTTGCGGAAGCAAAGAACACTAATTATTATTTTAACGGGAAAAGGAAATTTGATAGGAAGTGAATTTAGTCAACACCGAGAGCGAGAAACCCTAGAAAAATCAAAATCAGATCATTCCGTGCTAACCTAATTAAGGTCATGTTAGATTTCCTAGCGGGATTTTAGTTCAAAAACCTCGGATTATTTCTAGAAGTTCTGCAGAGAATACTATTCTAATTCAAACTGTTAATCTGGCCGAAGAAGATTCGAATCAATGAGGTTGCGAGCAGTTTAGCTGTCTTTTTCGGCCCAAGCCATACCCGGCATGTAGAAACAGGGCAGTCATCCAGTAAAAGAGTGTCATATCGACCGAAAACAATTGAAGTCTTAGTGCTTCGATCTGTCATTCGGAACCTGAGCACAGCAACCCACGCATCCAACGTCAACGTACTTAAAGCCATAAACACCCACTCAGATAATTCATGGCGCGCGAACTTTCCAATCCAACCCAACCATGGATCATAAATTTACTAGGACGAAAGTCATCGGCAGAATTCCAAGCAAGAGGGTCCCCAAAATGTTTTTCCTCACTAGCCGCTATTATTTAATTTCTGCATTTCAAAGCTCTCCGCATGACCAGAGCCACTTTAGGGATACAAACTATGACTGTACCACTGGTATACCATCACAGGGCCCATCCGTGCAGACACCAGCTAGGAACTGAATCACTCTAAGCCCATCAGGAAGGAAGTACTTGACTGTATGAACCCCATTCAGCATTATATAACAAGAAGCGCTAAAGCTGCCTCGCAAAACCGGTGTAATTCTGGCACAGTTAGCGTCTATATACGATAACAGACTCAGCACCTACTTATTCAGAGTCGATTCCAACTATTAACGTATGTCCCTGCACAACATCCCTCCTTCTTGGTTCATCGAGATCTTTCAATACGTCTCAAATGTGAATTCTATGCCCCTAGGCCTGATATGCAGAGCCCGATAAATTCTTGATGTTATGTTTATACTATATGTCTGGATTTTGGCATATTTTAAGTCAGTTAGGATCTGTTAATTTTCAAGCAGAGGACTCTAGAATTGGTGCGCGGAAAGGCATACCTGCTGTAAAAGAATTTACTTTACTAGCGACTAATACATATTTCTCACGAAAGTCGAATATTTATAACCCGATGACTCGAAATTATAAACGAGCAAGGTCGGTCGTCCCCACAATATTCTCTGAAACCAATTTGGGGAATGTTTTTGTTTGCAAAACAAAAACTTATGGACGAAGACGATGCAGCGTAAAGTCCAGACAGAGGCAGCTCTACACAACAGGAAGGAATGGAAGCTGTTGATAACCCATGAATCCTACGTTTGAAAGATTTCAACATTCTAGAGATTTAAAGATTAAGATTAAAAGATTTCAAACCTAAACTACAACTAAAACACGTTTTTTTTTTTGCATTTCGGATGATTCTATCATGAGCTCCACTACAAGCGAAGACGCACCTTATTCGAGGGCTCGCCGGAAATGGCATACCACTGGCGAAGTTATGAATATTTTCCTATAAAAATTGCAGATATTCGTTTTCAAATGTGCATATTTATTAAGAAAATAAATAATTTGATTTACGGTTACCCTTAAAATTCAAAATATTAATAATTTATTAAAATATAAATTGTACGGAAAAACTCCGGCGAAATTTATGTGCAAAGTTTGAGAAACTATGAGTGAGCCAAATTTAAAAGACATAAATTATAACTACAAATATATCTTACGTCAATTCGAATGCAATTTTCAGTACCACCATCGAACCAACCCTGCACACAATTCCACC